CCGTCCGATCCTCTTCACCTGCTCATCCAGCTTCACTGTTGCTTCCACCAGCACTGCACGAAACCGCTGACGGCAGTCCTGCACACATACACACGCACACAGATATTAGCTTTTAAACTTAATTCTGGAGGCATTGTACTTTGTGTTGAGTGCTAATTTGCAAATGCATGCATGCTAACACATTATTAGTCTATACTATATAGCTCAGTCAGGCACCTAAACGCTGTCGAGGTTAAACCATGTAAATACCATAAAAGCTGAAGTCCAGTTTTGGTCATTTACTCAGAACGACTGTGTATTTTGTCTTGGCTTTAATGTTTTAAGCTTTAGCCAGGAGTTGGCTGGTGCTGTCCTACTGGCCCTCGTCAGTTTGGCCTTGCGCCTCCACAGCGGCTCTTCTAATTCAAGTCATCACTAAACCATTACAAGCACATGCATTAATATACATGGCAGCTGCATATTTGTTGTCTTGGTCCAACAAGTTGTGTTGAGCAAACCTTATATACATTCTTTGGTGGTGAGATCATGTTGAAACTACTCTGTGAGCGATGATATAACATGAGGGGCAACGTCCGTGTGTGCATTTTTTTGGCATAAAGCCCAAAGTGGCAGTGACGGCAGACCTGTTATTCATAGATGAGGCCTGTCATGGTCTCATCTCTATGGCAGGGTTGCTGAGGCAAGCCATCTGTTTGTTTTTGTGTGTGTGTGTGTGTGTGTGTGTGTGTGTGTGTGTGTGTCTCATATACAGAAAGAAGAGTTTGAAAGGCAGCAGCACCTGCATCCTGTTCATAAAACTGATTGAAGAATATAAGAAAGGGTTAAAGGGGGGAAAGGGAGAGGGCGCAACAGGAAGCACAATTCCTGTGACATCATTATGTTTCCTGACTTCCGGTTCCTGTGCTGAGATTGTGACACAGCATGCAATCTGGAAGGTATATTCTGTATGCCACTGGTCATATATTGTAGGTACTAAATGACGGTGATGGCGAACATTCTTGGTCTTTCTATCACTTTATCTCTACACAATCTTATATCTCTGCCAGGGCACATTTATGTTGGCAGGGTAGAGAACCTAATATCTGAGCATGGATTTAACCTCATTGCTTCAGCTTTGAGTCCTCTGAATCTCCCGCACATCGTCCTTAATCAACTCCACACCCTGCATTCTTCACCTCCCGACTTTCATTCTGTCTCACGATGAATGACCTTCCTTCTTTTTCTGTTTGCTTATGTCTGCGTATATTTATATCAGTGACTCCCCTGACACAACTGGTGCTTGAAAACATTGCCAAAGCAGTGGAAATAATGTACAATTTCCAAATAACAGCAAGCAGCAGTTGATTTCTCCACATAAGATGGTTACAAATAACCAGATTCTAAAATAATTGTCCAGTATTTAGCTTGAAAGCAGGAATTTCGCAATATATAACAACGGTTCCAACATTGAGACATGTGTATACAAATCCCGTCCTCTCCCTCTGCCTCTCTGTTATAATTATTCCAGCACTGGTTTGTGGTGTTCAGACGTGAGTAAAGGTCTAATGAGAAACAGAAGAGGCCTACTTTGAGGAAAAGAAAAACTGTGGCCTGCCTCTGGAATGTTTTTACTTTTGCTGAACAGTAACCCTTTTAGCACACATTTAAATCCAAGCGAGCGCTGTAAAAACAACAACTACCATCCATCTTTCTGCTGTTCCTCGCTACAGTTTACATCCTTTTTCCTCTTTAAAAGTGTTTGGTGTGTTTGTTAAGGAAGGCTGAGGGAGTTGCGAGGAAATGAGGAGAGCACTTGGGATTTTGATTGCACCAAATGTGCCATACAAATATTATAATTAACATTCAGATCATAGTCATGCCTCTTGTAGCACTAAGAGAGTTCACACGGTGCAGTGTTATTTAGTAGGAGTGACAGGCGCTGCTTCAATGTTTCCACATTTTCCCTCAGAAGCAGCTCCCGCATTTAGAAAATTTCCGCCTTTGCAAGATGTTCCATGAAAATGGTTTCTATGCAAATGCCTCGTTGCTAGGCAAATTCCTGAAACACACTAAAACTGTACTGGAAACCAGATGAACTATCTCAAAGCACTGACGGGATTTCTCACTCATTTAGGGTAAGACATTAGATTTTAAGTCTGAAAGTGAGACTTAATGGCTCCTTGAGATGGTTGTTTTTCTTGCAGTGCAGCTCAGTCGTTGCTGGAAGTGTTTACCCCAGCAGGGAGAGGCACTCATAATGACGATGATAACATAGGCTGCTGTTTCGTCTTACCTCCAGCTCACTCTCCCAGCGGTTAATGTCATCTGTAGACTGGTTTAACTTCTCCAGCTCCCCCTGTTTACAGAAAACATGGCAGGGAACAGCACAGAGAGAGGGGAAGTGCATGGTTAACACAGATTGGGTATCTGGAGGCTAAACTGTGTGACTTCTGTTTACTAAATTACTGAGCATGCAGCCCTCAGTGTGTGTGTGTGTGTGTGTGTGTGTGTGTGTGTGTGTGTGTATGCCTGTGTGTGTTTGTGTGTGTGTGTGTGTGTGTGTGTGTGTGTGTGTTGAAAAAGCCTTAAAGGGACAAATACTCTTAAATCTATTTATGAACACCTTGGAACATGTTATTGCGTGACTACAAAGCACAGCTGAAGTGGAACTGTAATTGCTATAATAAAGTAGTAATATTTCACGTTACTGGATTAAATATCCCACCATGTGTGAGTTCAACATGTTTTATTCCACACAACCTGCTTCCCATTTTCACCTCAATGTCACTTTCAGTGGTGGCAACATCTGGATCTGTTAAAAGAAAAGAAAATCTAACCTGGATTCTTGGATCCACTTCTTCCTCCTCCTCAGCACACTGCGAGTCCTCCTCACAATCATTCCCATTTTGCAAAGGATCCATTTTCAGGATATCTGGAGATTTCTTTTTTATGGCTAAAGGAACTGAGGGTCTTCAATGAAACAAAGCGCGACCCCGGGGTGCTGGGCAGCAGGGGAGTCCAGTAGTGATCCGCCCTCACTAACCTTCACACAACAGAGCACATTGCAGGCTTCAGGATCGTTCAGTCTGGAGAAAGCGGAGGAGCGCGTCTGGCCGCAGGGAGATCCGACACCCACTACAGCGGATCTCAACCTCAGGGATAGACAGCAGACGAACTGTGGGAAAGAAAGTACTAAACTAACTCTAATGATCAATAGGACTACTTCTGGTTAGGCTTTTCAAAGTAAAAGACCAGTGCAGCAGCAGTAGTTCAGTGTGGCGGTAGACTTTTAAATTAAAATGTGGGCAAGTAATGACATGATTATATATACAATCAAAAAGTTTACATTATGTCAAAGAACCGTATCAAACAATAAATACTAGTCTTTTCAGAAAAAAACGTGGCATCTTACTTCAGAAAACAAGTTTTATTGACTTCCATTGATATTAGATCAAGTGGGTTTTAAGTGAGCTTTAATTCTATTTATTTATTAAGTGAGAGCCAGGCTCTCTTTTCAAGGAATGCCCTTACCACATTCCCACCATGAAATTGCCCAGTACAATACAGTCCGATCTGATGGCCGCAACTCCTGTGCTGCGGTTTGGGTTAAGTGCCTCGCTCAACGGCACTTCAGTGGTGGTAATGAGGTTGTGGAGAGTGCTGCTCTTTCACTTTCCCTATCTATCTCAATTCAAGAATTGAACCGGTGACCATCCTTTCTCAATCAATAACAATGTAATAATTTAAAATAAGCCTACAACCATTACCAACTTGTGATTAGGTGTTGTCTTGTACTAGTAATAAAATACCTGACAATCAATTTAGAAAGACCTCAGTGACTTTGTTTAGCCTACACTTGAATAATGGTTTGTAACTTTAATGTAGGACTACTTAATTTAGCTTAGCCTTGCCTATATGTTTTTGTCTGAATCTACCCACTTCACCCACAATCACCACCTTTACACTTTTATTTTGACGGGACAAATGCAAACACTTTCCGGTCTCATTGAGGCTACTTGTCAGCAGCTTGACACGGCTCCAGCATGGGCTTGTGAGTTGGTTTCACTCGCCCTCTGGTGGTGAGGACTCCTGGGAGCAGGGAGGGTCAGACTGGAAGCATGACAATGGCAGCAGGCTGGATTCCTGTAAACACTGGGGGAGTGCTCATGTAGATCAGTGGGGCAGTGCCAGGAGGCTTATAGAAGGGGTTTTCAGAGCCATTAGATGAAGTGATGATTAGAATGATTTAGAATGAAGGAGTATTATTATGGTCATGATTATTATTATAATCATTATTAGTTGAGTTTGAGTTAATTTGATATTCTTGCAGAATTTGGCCTGCCCTATGATGATGAGATTATACAATTATAATAAAATTATTTTTTTGATTTGGGTGAATATACAGTATAGCTCTTTAGGCCTTATTTATTAGTTCATTATCAGTGTTGGGCAGTAACTCATTACTAGTAATAATATAACTTTTCCCAGTAATTGGTAGTGTAACTAATTACTAATACATTTCAGTAATAATATTACAGTTACTCCTCCAAAAAATAATTTGTTACAATATTAATTTTATTGTCACTCTCTATTGATTTGAAATCCAACAATCCAGTCACATCCTTGGATTCATTTGTGTAATCGTGGAGGAAACTAGTTTGGAAGATGGAAACTTTGACTTTAACAAACAAAAATCGGATTTTAATCGTTTAAGTCTGGATTTTGGACACAATTACCAATGGGGAGTAGCAGAAAAGTAATATAACTAGTAGTGTAACTAATTCCTGTTGGCAGGGAGTAATAGGTAAAGTAATTTTATTACTTTTTTAAAAAAGTAATAAGTACATTACATTTTTTGAGTAAGTAGCCCAACACTGTTCATGCTGTCTGTCCTCCATATACCACATACACTGTATATATGCAGCACATATATTATATAGACCCATATAAATCCAGAAGTGTGCAGTGTATTCCTCCTGCATGATGTCAGCAGGTTCAAATGATCCAGTCATTTTGCCCAGGGAGTGCAGCGCCTCGGATATGGACGGCTGCCCGGCTTCACTGTTCGTCATCGCGTTTTTTCCAGCGTCCTCCTGCGTATGCATGTATGCGACCGACGGGCTGATTTCATAACGTGGGGAGGAAGAGAGGAATGGGGCTTTGAGAACGGCTGAGCACCAGACCTGGTAAGGCTCTATGCACCAACAGTGTTATCTCTATTCCCGGACCATGCAGACGGTGCACTAGAGGAGATGCGGTAGTTCGTGGAGGCTGCTGATGCTGCTGTCCGATCAGCTGTTTTTTGTGTCTTGAGCATCATCACCGTGACGGCCAGAGAGATCGAGATAAAGCTCCAGAGCCAGGGACACCGCAGACCGGTTAACAGAGGATGGAGTTTAAGCATCTGGTGGAGGCGGCGGAGAAGTGGTGCTCCGGTAACCCGTTCGACCTCATCTTCGCCGAGGAGGACGACGAGAGGCGGCTGGACTTTTACGCAGACCCTGGCGTCTCCTTCTACGTGCTGTGTCCCGGCGGCACCGATAATTTCGTAAGTGCGCCTCTGCAGGGCCTTAAGCTCTGCGTGCATGAGTGTGTGTTCTTGTAGGTGTGTCGAGGGTGGGTTGGAGGTGGGGTTGTCCCGGTTGGTCCCGGTTTTTCTTGCTGATGGACACTGGGCAGGAGGGGAGGGGGCTTTGGGCGAAGATTAGAGGGTATGATGTCATTTCAGTTTGGGTGCACATCCCGACACCCCCCACACCCCACCTCCCCTCTGTCGATGGTGGGGTTTTTTTCCTCCATCATAATCAACTGCGATAACCCTCTGAACTACAACACCATCAAGCGAGCCAGGTTGAAAAAACACGAGGCCTGTAACTTTCAAAATAAAAGCCCTATAGAGCGTTATGTTGCACTCGGAACACAAAGTATTAAATTCAAATTAATGGAGGAGAAACTATAAAATAGATTTAAGGAGCAAATTAACTGACTTTCTCCTCAAATGTAATATCTATTACATTATTTCTATATAACAATGAAGGCCAATGCTTGCTGGCAAAAAGCTCAAACCCAGATTTTACACCAGACAAGTGTGCAGCAAATTCTCTCCATAGGTAATCAAATGATTTGAGAGGTTGGTGTCCTGCAGACACACAGTAAATAATTATCAAGCTTACGCATTTTCATGTCTTTATTTAGAAGGAATTATTGCCAGTTGTCTGTTCTGATCCAGGGCTGAGTCCAGGTTATCCCAGTGAAACCCCACTCATGAAAAAGGTTTGCCTAGTAACAAAGAAAGTCTGCAAATGTAAACATTAAATATATTTAATACAGTTACTTAGGTTATATATCCTGTTAATTTTATCTCCCTACATGATGCTCTAAATTACTTTCAAAGAATTATCCACTCTGGGATGGTGGAAGAAATCCCTTTATTGTTCTTTTTGTGGGTTTTCCCTAAAACAGCAAGTTTAAAGGCCCTAAGAAATATCAGAGCCAGTCCTAAAAATAACCCCATGTGTTATTTGTCTGTAATTGTTGAACATAAACGCTTTAAGTTATTAAAGTCCTCCAAACTCCAGACACAATATTAAATATATGAGCTCAGAGTGTTCACTGGTAGCTACAGCTCTACTCTGATCATCTACACACTGACACAGCTCACAATCTATATTCTATACCAGCGTGGTGCAGTGGTGGTGTTGTGAGCCCTAAAGCTCCTGAGGCAAGACCCGCCCTGCTCCCTCCTCCTGCTCAGTGACAGGGACTAACAGGGCGGGGAGCAGATGGAGATGACCCGGGAGCCAGGGCGTCTGTTCAGTCAATAACATATTATGTCACACCGACCGTGCCTGTGTTTTGTGTTTGGAGGCCTTGCCTGCTCATAGACAGCCTAGCAGGGCCACTTAAACAGGGGTTTTCCATGGCTGCTGATGGAAAATAGATGAATATAAATATCAAACCATCTTAATGAGAATGTCATTACAGAGACCATAGCACAGGGTTAAGTCCACACAGAATGCAAGTACATAAATACATCATGTGGTTCACTTTATTCCCCTCACTTTTTCTCCTGCTTTTGAATCAAATGCATGTCAACTGCTGAAGCCCTAATAGTCACGCACACACACACACACACACACACACACACACACACACACACACACACACACACACACACACACACACAACCACAGTCATCTGCTATGCACTCTCAGAGCAGCTAGAATAACTCTCTGTCTCTCTGCAGGACTCTTGAGATCTAGTTACTCTTGCTCGATCAATACTGCTATCAGCAGGGTGTCTCACATGTCTCTCTCTCTCTCTCTCTCTCTCTCTCTCTCTCTCTCTCTCTCTCTCTCTCTCAAACACACACAAACACAGTCCTTTTCTCAGTTTATCTTGTTTTCCCCTCAGAACTGTGTATCATTGCCCTGTCCTTTCACTAGAGGGCGCCGTGAAACCAGTTCCACCGTAATAACTGTTTCCAGCTCTGTAATTTCCCTCAGGGTAGTCTTTGTAGTTTTCAGTCACTCAGGCCATGTGATACAGTGAAAAACAAGAGCGATTGGGTTTTCCTTGTAAGATCTGCTGAAAGATGAGGGTTTTGTCTGGGCAGCAGATGCACACCCTCATGTGAGAGTCCATCCATCAGTGTCAGACTGAAACAACCATCCCTGAGCAGTCAGAGCAGGAGGGCTCAGTGTTAACTTTATCTACAACACTGTAACAGAAATGTTTCCCCGGGCTGGTTCAGATGACTCTCATGTGACCCCCAAAACTCTCAAATGAAGGTGTGTCCCTATCACACATTATCCCTTAATGTTTTTTTACCTTAAAACACCCACTAATAATGTTGAAATTAAGGTATTCTTCGTGGGATTTTTAAGGGGATAACTAAAAGATGAATTAATAGATTGTAATAAATTTGAGGAGGGCCTTCATTTATCAGTTAAGGTGAAAACTCAGAGATGATTTTCACGACTTTAGGTCAGTTCCTTCAAACGCAGAGGCACACTGATGTACCATGAGGCAAGCCTAGGTGTGCTGTGGGCTTTTGTGACAACCATACAATATGCAGCTATATAATGTATATTCTCTTATTGTTATTATTCTCTTATTCTCTTATAAGTCTTCTTATTTACAGTAAATAAGAATTTCTTCTTAATGACTTAACTGAAAAATATATAGTTCTGTGGTCAATTTTAAGGTGTTTGAGCCCCTAAAACTCCTTAAACTATGAATATAATGAACTCAAAATACCATAACATTTTACAGTCCATTGATTTGCTCATTAAATTTGATGCATAAATACCTGAATACTGATATAATTTCATATAAATCCCTTAAAATATCATTAATTTTCACCTGATAACATTTCAGAACTTTGAGTAAACAGAAATCACAATAATCCCAAAGGATTTCCTGAAAAAAAGAAATTAAATATCATATTTCTTAAATGCTTCTCAACCCAAACCTTTACTACAACTGACAAAGCCTCCGTAGACTACAGTACACATTAAGATCAATCTGCTTTGGTTTTACACCCTCCAGGTCGCTCTGCACACTTGGCCAGACGCCCCAACGGCATTACCTAATACATAACCTAACAGCACGGCCTTTCGACTCTAATTAAACAACACTAGCAGTTGGTGAAGCAGAATTGCTCCAGTGGTCTATCCCAAGCAGTGGTGTTTATCTTACAGTTCAAAGCATTGCGGGAACTAACTGCTTGCACTAATGAGGAAGTTGATCTTAATCTGACTAGAACGCTCACCTCTGATATCAAGGAATTACAACTTTTACAATATTTACTTTTATTGGCCATATACACAGTAACATTTCTGACCTCAGTACTCTCCAGGCCGAGTTTAAGCCTAGGTTGTACACAAAACCTCAGACTAGACAGGCTTTGTGGTAAGAAAGAGTTTTCTTGGCAGTGGAGCAAAATTACTGTGTACAATAAGGAGTCCCACTTAAAACTCAGTGGCTGCAGTGGTGGGATAGTGCTTTTCTTTTCTTAAGGGGAACTAACATTTTAAGCAACAGTTTAGTAACAGCTCAGTATAATGCACCAGTTTTTAGAGACTAATGAAAAACAGTACCTGACATTGTACTGTTATTAATTAGGGGGCACTTAGCACCTGTTTTAGAGTTAATAAGGATTGATTCATGAAGAAAGTGTTCATTTTCATTTGACACTATATTAACAGGTTATGTAGCAGTCTGCTCTTAAGAATTTATCATTATTTATTTGTTATATAATCCTTAATTCAGATACATTCAGGAACTACTTGTCCAACATGTCATCATTATCTATCTTACTATCATTATCTAACTTTCCTCGGTGAATATTCAGGACTTTCTGTATTTTATTTTGTCACCCCTGTTTGTGTTACGTCTGCTGCATGTCCTTGAAGAAATGCCTCTTTGTCTGGTTTAATTGCGTTGATCTAGTTTCTCTGTACTGTTCTGCCCCTGACCCAGCTATACTTGTTTACTTGTTAATTCCTGCAAGTTCGAAGTCACTATACAGCCTACACGAGGCTATACTGGTGGAGGAAGTGTGACAGTATTGCATCACCTGCCTACTTGCATGAGTATTTGCTAATCTTTGTCTATCTGTGTCTGTAGCACGTGTGGAGCGAGAGCGAGGACTGCCTTCCCTTCCTACAGCTGGCCCAGGACTACATCTCCTCCTGTGGGAAGAAGACTCTGCTGGAGGTGCTAGAGAAGGTCTTCACGTCCTTCAGGCCTGTAAGGAAACCAACGAGTGATGCTGTTTTCTTTTTAACACTGAGCATCAACCACAGTTCAGTGGCCTGTGCTTGCTGTGGCTGGGTCTACTACAACCCTGATACATTCTGTTCTCTCTGGTGCTGACAACATGTTGAACTCCACCCTGGATTCTGACATTTTTCAGTTGCCTTGCTTATCTGCAAATGATACAAAAGAGAGTCTATTTAACATGTGAGAGTAGTTTTATTTTCATGAATTACACTTTCTTCTTCAAGCTTTTATGGTGAATATACAAGAACAAACAATACTTTAAGATGTTTTTTAAAAATTAAAATAGGTGCTACTTGGTGTAGATTATATGAAAATCAATCCCTTTATTTTTTCACACAGAAATTCTATTAATATAACCATTAATAAGGATGTAATTAAGTTTTTTTTAATGGCATTTTAAGGGGATAATTAATTAGGAAATAAATGACATGTTATATGCAATGTTTATATATTGTGTGTTTTTAATGGATTATCAGCAAGGTTTAAGAGCTTTTGAAGGGGAAAAAAACTCAAGAATGGAACAAATGACTTGTAAGCCGTTACCTAATTTACAACTTGAGAGAGCCTTCGTTTTTTAATTAAGTAACTTGAAAATTCTGGCTTTTCAGCTATTTGGTCAAAATCATGTCCATTCAGCATGCTTAATGTATTATAATCCATTAATTTATCCAATAATTAACCTTAAAATGGCAAATTAATTGAAAAATTACCATAAAAGGACCTTCCTTTTATAAATTATTTAATCCAAATGCATTATTCCAAATCTGGGGTCAACATGTTAGCTAAACTGAGCATAAAGACTGGAAACAAAGGGAAACAGCCCTGTACAACCCCTAATACAACCTTCTTCTTCTTCTTCTTCTCCCCCTGTCAGCTGCTGGGCCTTCCAGACATAGAAGACGACAGTTTTGAGCACTACCACGCTGACATGGAGGGGGAACCAGGGCCAGACCACCAGCAGATGGGGGTCAGCCAGCAGTGATAAGCCCCAAGATGAGGCCTGCAGCTGGGGTAGAGCTGCTCTGAAGTTCTGGGCCTCAACTCATCCGCCCAAACACTTAACAACACATTCTTATCCAAACACATCCACCCACCCACACACACACACACACACACACACACACATACTTACAGTCGACTTGCTAAAAATGCACCACCATGTTCTTGAATGTTTCAGTGGCTTTGCTTCCCAAAGAGTGCACTCTGTTGCACTGTGTTGACCCCTCCTAACCAGACACACACACACACACACACACACACACACACACACATACACACATTGGGGCTACTGTACGTGTGCTGTAGCCATGTACAATTCAAGTATCATAATCATTCACCATCTGGTTAGTTAAAGTTCCACAGCACAGCAATATTACATCGGCCTCAGCTGGCTTTGTTATGCAGAAATACTGTCAGATGTTACCGCAATACACACGTTTCCCCCGTTGGTTGGAAGAAGAATGTGACAGATAACCTACATTCTCTGCCTGTCTGCTGACACGAAGAGCTAGATGAAAGATAAATGGGTGAAAACTGACAGTTTGTGGCCATGTGAGGCAACTGAAGTAACGCAGATAAAGAGAGGGAAGGAAGGAGGGAAAAACGGTACCATTTTCCGCTTTGTGGAGGGAAAGAAGGAGGGAAGTGAGGATGTATAGTTCTGACGTAGATTCAGGTGGGGCAGCTCTCAAACTTTCCTGTTTTAAACATGCACTTCAAATAGTCGTATAGGTTTCAATCGAAAGCATTTTACACATCTGCTCCTCATGTGGAAATCAAAAGTGTGCAGCTTCACAGTAGCATGGATTGTTTCTTGAGGTGTGTCTCTTAGTGTTTCCAAGGCAGTGCACCTCAAAGAGTTTAAAGTCACTTTATGAGGACGTTTTTAATCAATGTTACTATCATGTGACCATCACAACAAAGGCCCATGCTGCAGCTTAAGCTCTTCCCAGTTTGGGTGTCTCATTGTCACATGACACTCTTTAGTTCTTCTGTCCTGTAGTCTTCCTTCCTGGTTGTTGATGGTTCACAATTTGCCCCAGTCTGATGATAATACTTCCTGACGCTAGCCAAAAAACTCTTTTTGCGCGTGTTGCTTTTCAATTAATGATCGGCTTCTTTCGAGGTTTCTCTTAACCATAAATTGAATAAATGCACACCCAAATCCCTGAGTGATATCACAGGGAAGAGAAAAATATTTGTTGACAGCCACCCTCTGCCTACCCTGTTATCTCTAATCTCACAGTGTGTTGTTGTATGTCACATCCAGTGCACTGCAATGCTTCAGGCCGCCGCCCTCAACCACTCCATCCACATGCAAGACTGTTGCAGAGGTTCATCTTTAGCCCGGTTACTTTGGCTTGTAAATGTTTGTCTTTTTATTGCCTATTTGAATGTTTCTCATGCAGTGTATCTTCTGTTTGTCCTCCAATGTGTGTAAAATTGTTCAATAAACCGTGTGAACAGAGCGTTCCACAGCCGTCCTTTTTGTTTTTCTTCTGAATGGCCTGAAGTTAATGGAACACAATGCACCTAACATGGAGGGCTTTTCATATCACAGAGTTGACTGGTGACCTGCTGCTGTGCCAACAGCCCGCTGGTGTTACTGGGGCTGACGTCACGCGCCACCTGACCCGCCCACTCAGAGCTTTGTCAGGCTGGAGGGAACTACACACAGAAAGCTATGACTTTGCCTTCAAAGTAAAAGCACAAAAGCTGTCAGGTTTTCAGTGGTTGCTTGTTGTCATTAGTTGACAACCAAACTGTAAACCTTGGAACATTTGAATCTATAGTTTACCTTAAAAACACATACACATAAATATATACACATATCTGCAATATTGTTGAAGTGTTTGTGAATTGCGTGAGAGGCAAGGCATTTATAGAATATTGAATTTGGATGAACTGACTTCTCTCAATACACACCACCAATTTCAACCAATTACATTTGCTTATAAGCACTTAAGGAAAGTGATATCACAGGGAAGAGAAAATATTTGTTGACAGCCACCCTCGGCCTATCCTGTTATCTCTAATCTCACAGTGTGTTGTTGTATGTCACATTAAGATGGATTAAGGAAAGAGCTTATAGGCAATCATCCAATTATACATTTGACCCAAGTGACAGCAAATAATTAAATTATAAGGGGAATAACATGGCAATAAACTTAACTTGTAGACTTTTCATACATTAAATGTCACTCAAAGTGCTTATCAAATTGCATATATTTAAGACAATATAAGCAACTAAAAATCATAAATGATAAGGGCAGTGCTATACATCTATAGCTCAGTTGTGTTCAGATCATTTACTTCAGTAAAAGTAAAAGTACTCAGTGTTGAGTACACATTCATTGTTGTCAGTCATAGAATGTGTACATTTACTCAAGTACTGAACTTCTGTACACATTCGATGTACTTGTCATTTTCTGTTCATACAATTTTCTACTTACACTCTACAGCATTTAGCAGGAAATATTGTACTTTTTACTTCACCTTTAGTTACATTACAAATTAAGGATGCAAATACATAAAAAAAAAAACATATGAAGAGCTTATACAATGATTTGTAGTGGAGTAGAAATAAAAAGTAGCATGAAATGGAATTGTACTTAAATACAGTACTTGAGTACAATCGTGGATTAGTTGCCAACTGCAAAGGCAGGGAGAGTAACGGGTATAGGCCACAGCATAATGTACCGATATATTTTATATATATCAGCACACGGTATTTAATTATATATCCTGGTAACGTCCAGACAAGTGTGTGTTTGTCGCTTTTACTTTGAAGGTAAATTCATCTTATCCTGGTGAACTTCGGGTAGTTTGAAAGAGCTGCCTCACAGAGGGGAGGAGGGCAAGCTCTGCTTTTATTTTTCTTTCCAGACGGCCACAGTTGAGCACAAAAACAAACTTGAACCAGATGGGCTGTGGGGTCAACACTTGCGCTAACGTGCTCGTCTGAAGCGGAGGGACTGAAGACTTACAACTGAAGAGATTTGATCTTTTCTCTTTTTCCATTGTTGAAAAAAAGGGAAGGGCTCTGCCAAGAAAAAAAACCAACCATTTGGAAATTAAGTTATGCGTCAGTGAGTGCGCACTTTACGCACAGGGCGCACCATGAAACTTTAAGATGTTGAATCGCCTTGCCTCTATTGTTGTTCATGTGTCAGGCTTTGTTTCCTTTGTTAGTGTCAGTTCCTCAGAACTCACTGTAACCATGTGTCGTGGCTAAAAACTTCCACGCGCACACAAAACCTGAGAAGGTAAGCCCGAGGCAGCATGGGGGCCAAACAGAGCAGCCCAGTATTTGATGGCAGAACTCGGGCTTATTCCAGCTCCGATCTCCCGTCTGGAAACTCCAGCGCAGGGGAAAGGATTGCGGGGTTTAGGTACACCAATGGACCAGATGGCCCCCGGATCAGGTACACTGGTGGAGGGCCAACCAGCTCCGGGCGCAGTATACCGGCCGGTGGCAGATCAGGGTCACATGTACTCAATCAGAGCCTCGATGGCACGGATGGTGACGACGAAGTACAGCTGCCTCCTGAGGGCCACAGGCTGCTTATAGGGTCCCTACCGGCTCACCTGTCGCCTCACCTGCTGGGAGGTAAGATTGTAACGCATGGACCACTGCAGACTGATAACAGCTACTCCATAAAACATCTGGACAGAAGGCAGTCACATTCATAATGTTATTGCTCAGTTATAATCTCCTGATTTTCTTATTGTTCCTGAAGTACACTTTGTCTGTGTTACTCAGTAGAGAGTAGAGACACTGTGGTGCATTATGCTATTTTGATTCTTTATTATTATTATTATTATTATTTTGTCATTTTCATAGTGTGTTTGCTGTGTTTAGTGCATTGTTCTTTATCTTACCTAAGGGGCATTTCTTTAATCTCATATGGCATAACTGTAATATTTCTGGTCTTCACACTGTGTTTATAGTACAGTGTGAGCTTAGAGTCAACATGTTGGTTCATGCAGGATACCATATGTTTACCACAGTCCTACAAGATTTCATAAGCTGTATACATTACAGTTGCTGTCAAAGTTGCTTAGTTTTTTTCCATTTGACATGTGATACCTGGCACATGGTAAAAGCAGTGTGGTGACTGAGCCCTTTGTTTAGCACTTCTGCTCTTTTATTTTAGCCACAGGTGGCTCTACAGTACTGCACCGCCGTCTGCTTTTTTTTGTGCCTCTCCTCTGTCTTGCAAAACTGGCTTGTTTTTCACTCCTGCTGAGAGGGAAGAGTGCATTATGTAGGTCAGCAGATAAGAGCTTCCTGCTGGTTACACATTGCCTGACGCACACATACACACACACGCACACATATGCACACAAACTTCCTGAATCCGCAAATCTAGCTGCTTCTCAACTGGTGGGTTGTCTCCAGACCTGTCCACAAGGAAACAGGACTCAAACTAATATGACAGGATTGTTACGGTGCTCTAACGTCCGTGTCACTGGAAAAGAAAAGCTCCTCAACAATAAAATCAAACATTTTATAGCGTTTCCTGAATTGCTGCTGGAGTTGTTGTAAATGACGCATGCTCCAAGTTCCTCATCTTTTATAACGTGGTCAATAAAAATTAATTTTGGCCTTTCCCCCTTCTAATTACCGGCATAGACGAGGAAGTCTAATCATAAATAACCATCAATAGCCTTTGTTCATCAGGTCTATGTGATTGTGACCCTGCAGGCCTCCACAGGTTTTTTTCCCCATCTCCTTCACCTCCCTTTCAAGCACATAACACAAACATGAAGTTCACACCAGACACAGAGATAATTAATATAATTATTATTGATGCTTTTGTAGTCCTTTTCTTGCCTGAGGTGTTAATAATGTTAAACAGGAGGTTAGCTTATCTCAGGCCGAGCAGCACCTGGCCAATTAATCTTTGTGCAGCGGAGAAGATGCACTGGGTATGTGGGTTACATTATGAATTCATAACTTACTTATTTAATTCACACATGCAGTGCAATAAATATTAAGGCATCCTGTCTTGAGGATGTGTTTACAGTTAGTTTGTAATGAGCAACCTATAGATCAGGTGAGCAGATTGTAACAGATTGTTTACAGCAGACAGTGCATGCAGGGTTAGGTCAAGTAGGACTGTGTAAGATCAACTCATGCACACTGTCCCACGCCCTCTGTTGTGTACATGTCAATAAAAAGGTATGAGACAGTCGTTTGCACATCTGGGTCCTCATGTTCTTGTCTTTGTGTTTTCTTCCCAGGCTTCCACTGCCCTGTTTGCTCCAAGTTTATGGCATCGGATGAAATAGAGAAGCACTTGCTCATGTGTTTCAGCAAAACGCGCCTCACCTACAACAGTAAGGACTCAGGGGTGAAAGTACAAGAGGGCATGGGAGATTTTTAAGTTATAGGATTTGGTATTTGGTACATCAGTTATTCCTCAGTTTTACATGTTCATTTTGGTTCAAAGGCCAATGCGGGTGCATCAGATGGCTGAGACCAGACAACAAATATCCAGTATTCAGATAATTTACTAAAATAAAAGTGGCAGTACCACTATGTGATAATATTTAATTACAAGTACAAATAATGCATAAAAAAACTCCTTATACTAAAAAATGGCTCTTTATATGTCGTTATGTCATTAAATATTACCCAGCTCCCAACCTTTTTTGCTTGCGACCCCTTAAAACAAATCAGTGTCTACTTGCAACCCCTCGACACAGGTTATGCTTTAGTGAGTCATTTGTATGTATTTTAATGGTGTAAGTGGTTGACACGAACCCATTTTAACAACTTTATTTACTGTTGGGTAGTTCAATCAATAATAATGGATAATATTTTTTAAGATTATTATAGGTTTTGTATGCAAAATCTTATTCTGCAAGGTAACTAACTATTAACTATAGCTGTCAAATAAATGTAATGCAGTATTATTCTCTGCAAACATAGCAGTAGAATGATAGTAATCAAGTACAAGTACCACACAACTGTACTTAAATGCAGTACAAAAATGAACATATTTACATTCCACCAGTCCCTCTGTCATCAGTTCCTCAGTCGAAATTGTATGCCATATTGTTTCTACAACTGAGTCATGCTAATGAAAGAGTTCTTGCATGAAATTATTCTTAGATAGACAAATGTTTTTTTCAAAAACTCGTTATCAGCAGAAATGCACCTGTACTAGACACAGTACAGCGCAGCATGAAACGATCAAAGCAAATGCAGCTATGTGATGCAACTGCACATTTACACAGCCACCCATATGAGTGCAGACTACCTGTATGTGAGCTTCTGTGTTGTGCGCACACACATACATGAGCACACACAGGAAAAGGCAAACACGTCTTGTTTGTAGACACACAGGTGTCACTACACACGCTTCCTGCAAGTAAAGACATCCCAAACTAGACAGTGTTGCATGTATGCAAACGAGTAGATTACTCCTCATGTTTTATAGTTGATGCATGTGCAGAGACATGCACACACACACAGTTTCCAGCTGGCACACACCCACAGCAGCATGCATGTTACTGATAAATACACAGCACATATGCGACTCATAGACTGCACATTGTGTCTTAGCTCATCACAGGCATACAGATGTGTAAAACCTATACAAGTATCGCTTTATTATTTATCTAACTCATGCAAATATTTTCAAAGTACATTTGAATGATTCTGTCTTTCCTCTCCTGCAGGATTCAATTTAATATGTGCACATGAAAAGCTACAAACAGTCTTAGTTACTCCTTCGCCTCAGGTATTGACACTAGGGCCTGAATATGCAGGTAAATATGTGACATAAGAGGAACACGTATCATTATCTTATCTCAGGTTCATTAGACTCAATTTTCTCCCTGTCATTAAAAGATTATCATCAAACTATTATACAAATAAAATTATAACAAAAACTAAAACTACATTCCACAAAGCACAACCTGTTCCCACTGGAGATTTACCCACTTTGCACACTGTAGAGGAATACCAGTTCCCATCTGGGCACAGATGACTACAGGTACCAAAGGTTAAACAGATGGTTATGCAGGATTCAGTGACTGAACTGCACATCTGATGCATGATTCGGTGTGAGGCGGCTCTTTTCTCAGTTTGTCTGTCCATATTGTCTTTCTCAGAGGACATCCTGTCCAGAGACTCTGGGGAATGTGCCATCTGTTTAGAAGAGCTGGAGCAGGGAGACACCATTGCCAGGCTGCCCTGCCTCTGTATCTACCATAAAGGGTAACTAACACACACAAACGCACATAAATAAACAGACTGTAGTTGGAAATAGTTTGACAAATTCATTAAATGCACCAGGTGAAAAGCGTCACAACTTCCAAAGGGTAACCTGATGTTTTAACAGTTTGACATTTTGAGAAATAAGCTTATTCGCTTTCCTCCCAAGAGTAGATGAGAGGATTGATACCTCTTTCATGTTTATACAGTAAACATGAAGCTACTGCCATCCAGTGGTTAGCTTAGCTTAGCACAAAGACTGAAAACAGGGGTAAACAGCTGCAGTTGCTAGATTTTCACTATTAACGCCAGAACGCAGTGTGTAAGAGAAATTATAACAAACCAAATCAAACAGGCGACAAACTAACAAAAAAATCTTAGGCAGAAACAAAGTGTTTATTGACCATTTTTAAACTTTGTAATTATCAGAATAACTGAAAATATACCTCACAACCTGCACAACATGTGAAATGTGTCTCAAGAGCCAGAACAACTTAAATAAAGGGTGAAAAAAACTTAATTAATTAATAATTATATAAATGAATGGTTTGACATTTTGGGAAATATGGCTTTCTTGCTGAGAGTTAGATGATTGATAACACTCTCATGTATTTACACTACCACCAATATCCAGTAAGTTTAGCTTAGCACAATGACTGAAAACAAGAGGGAAACAGTGAGTTCTGTCACACAAAAAAAGTCACATAATGAACAGAACTGGCTTTAGAGGTGCTAGTAGGCAGGTTTTGTTACCTCTAGACAGAGCCAGGCTAGCTGTTTCCCCATTTCTAGTTTTTGCGCTAAGCTAACCTACTGCATCTAGCGGTGAGATTGGAGATTGCAACCAGCTCGCCTCACCCTCGCCTTTCAAGTGTGTAGGAGAAACTACGGTGGCTGCAAAACCTGCAGAAAACAAGAAATCTAGAGCCAGTGTTTGGTTTTGGTTTGCCCATTCTGGGCTTCTGTAGAAACATGGTGGACAAGGACCTGCTCCCTTGTTAGATAAAAACGTCTCATTCTAAAGTAACAAAAACACGATTCTTATTTTCAGGTGATTTATACACTAATGAAAATTTGTTGTTATGAATATTAAATGTCTTTCTGCCAATAGATCCTTCTAAATGTTACACAGTGGACCTTTAACAGACTCATAGTGGAGTGAGAGTGATATTGATCCTCTCATTTAACTGTCAGCATGACCTTCATCAGGTGTATGAACAAACAGTTCCATATGTACACATAGAAGCTAGATAATCCATCCAATCAGAGATGCATTATAATAAGGTCAGTTGGTGAATGAAACACTTTGAGAAACCAAACACACTGCCATCCAGATAATTAGAGAGAGAAAGTCATCTTTTTGAAAAGATTCCATCTATACCTAATTTATTGAAAAACTAATGAATATTTGTTTTATTGTGATTAGTGAGCTATTTAATTTAGCTATTTTTTCAGTTTCCTTCCATCACAAGAAAAAACATTCCCTGTTGCCCTCCTCTTCCTGTTCCAGGTGTATAGACGAGTGGTTTGAGGTGAATCGCTCATGTCCGGAGCATCCCGCTGATTAGGAGCTGCACGAGTACAGTTTCAGTCTACTGTACCAGCACCTCATCCCAACACTGTCTGTTCCAGCCGAGCATCAGCGCTCCTCAGGGATTGTAAGACATTTTTGTATACAGGATTTTTCTCAGTATCAATGGACTGTGGAATAAGTTTGTCTAGACGCCGTGGGACGTTCAAAGAACCACTGATGGAGTTATTTTGTCTCCAGAAAAATATGTGAATATTCATTATGCCACCTACTGGCCTAAGTGGGTTTATACAACCTGGGATCTGAGCTGAACTGTTTTTGCTGAACAGGGTGTGGTTTTATAGCTGAGGACTTGAATAACCAACATAACTGTTCAGAGACTTGATCAGAGGACTGGAGGCTGATGTTGTGCAATGTGAAAAACAGCCATACAGAATTATATCAGCTTTAAGGGATGATTACAGTGTTGATGCTAGTTAGGAAATAGATCTTCGTTCTATTGTGAAATTGGCTATTATCTGACTTTTTTAATCGCCTGGCCATTGAGAACCACAGTAATGTGATTGTGTAGTTTAGTAGTGGAATTAAAGATAGGCTAAGACATATCCAATGATTCATGCTCTCTAAGGAGTGCCATAATATGCTGCTATGTCATAGACTGGAAAGTTTTCTTATAACCTTTGAACCTGTGTTCATTGTACTTTCTATTTGTACTGTAATGAATTGCACAACAATAAATGTTTTGTCTTGTCACTTTCCTGCAAACAGACTAAATATTTTCATGTAAAAGCTTCATTTATGTACTTTATCTATCTAACGGAAATGAGTCATCCCTGACATTTAATTCATTGTATGAGAGAATCATTTTTATGTCTAAGATGGCTGCAGACAAGAGTAAGATGAGGAAGGGAAATGAGCAAAAAAAATAAAGTTTTTTAAAAACGTACTTCATATTTAAATGTAATGTAAATTATACCACAGACACTTGGATGTGAAACTTCCCAGGAAAGCACAGAGCAATGGAATCATCTATTAAAGAGTGTACACTATCACAATCCAAAAACAAGACAGCTGAAAGTTTTAACAGCCAAGAGAAGGCAATGAAGTACGTCTCTAGAAGTGGGCATGCAGGGACATGGATTAAGTGTTCCTTCTGTTTGTTGCAAAATGAGCAGTCTGAGGAAATGTCAGCTCTTAGTTTACTTAAGGTGTTGCAGAGATAATACCTCTGCATTTCTCTGACTATACAGTATTTAGTCACAGAAATGTGTAAATGTCACAGAAGATATTTTTCTAATAGAAAATGAGAAAGACTTCAGGAAAAGACAGCATTTGAAGGACAACTTTTATCATCTGAAATTAACTTCCTCATATTTACCATATTGCATGTATCTAAATTAGGACCACACCAGAGAGGGGCGTAAAAGAGAGTTAACTTCACTAAAGGTGAAACCAGGTGAAAAGCGTCACAACTTCCAAAGGGTAACCTGATGTTTTAACAGAGTTTGACATTTTGAGAAATAAGCTTATTCGCTTTCCTGCCAAGAGTAGATGAGAGGATTGATACCTCTTTCATGTTTATACAGTAAACATGAAGCTACTGCCATCCAGTGGTTAGCTTAGCTTAGCACAAAGACTGAAAACAGGGGTAAACAGCTGCAGTTGCTAGATTTTCACTATTAACGCCAGAACGCAGTGTGTAAGAGAAATTATAACAAACCAAATCAAACAGGCGACAAACTAACAAAAAAATCTTAGGCAGTAACAAAGTGTTTATTGACCATTTTTAAACTTTGTAATTATCAGAATAACTGAAAATATACCTCTGCACAACGTGTGAAATGTGTCTCAAGAGCCAGAACAACTTAAATAAAGGGTGAAAAAAACGTAATTAATTAATAATTATTTAAATGAATGGTTTGACATTTTGGGAAATATGGCTTTCTTGCTGAGAGTTAGATGATTGATAACACTAAAGGGACTAATTTATCTAATATATGTGCTTTGTTTTAGCCATTGTATTGATAGTAGAAATGTTGAATTTTAAATACACACTGTACGTACAATAAGTCAAAAACAAATCATTCCATCTTACATAAAGGCAACCTTGGTTTTGTGAGGTGTTTTAAATTGTTCCATAATAGGCTTTGATTCTTGTCAATCCGAGACTCGTTTAACTTTTTAAAACAATGTATACTGAGGGAGTAAAGGATCCAAAGAAATTCTCCAGTTCGTAATAAAATCATAAAAATAATTTAGTGTAAAATGTTGTATTCACTTAGGACTATTTAATTGTATCTATTTGACTGACTTCTCATTGATTAAGAGTTTGAAATGTCCCCTAACATTAATGTTTTATCATTCTTTTTTATTTTTGAATATTTCAATCACATTTAAAAAACAAACTTAATGTCATACATAACATACAGGTATACACATGACGTAAACACGTAGCGTCCACATTGATGCGGCTTTGATGACGTCGTACGTACAGCAACCGTAGACCGACGGCAACGTAACGTAACATTTACGGAAAGCTTCACAGCAGCGGCAGTCAACGGGTTCTCGCCTTAATTTGGCGTCAATTAAACAAACTACACTGTTATTTCTCCATATAACGTTAATACACATCACCTGTATTTTAAGGTAAGCGTATACCAACAAATACTTGTAATTCCTAGTGTGTAAGGTTTCATTCTTTTCCCTTGTATCTAGAGTTTTTCTTGGCTAACTTACAGCTGCTAAGTTGGCTAACTCCAGTGTCCGCAGGCTAACAGTACCTTCTCTATAATACAGCCATTGCTAAACTATAAGCAGAAATCCAGATTTTACTGGATGTTAATGAAATGTAACTCCCACTGCCTCTCGGGTTATGAGAAACTAATGTAATGTGTGTGCTGTTTCAGCTTGGGAATCGACAACTTAGGATCAAGATGTCGTACATGCTACCACATCTCCACAATGGCTGGCAGGTCGACCAAGCCATCCTGTCTGAGGAGGACCGAGTCCTCGTGATCCGCTTTGGACACGACTGGGACCCGACATGCATGAAAATGGACGAAGTTCTCTACAGCATCGCTGAAAAGGTTTGATTTGTGTCTGATACAGCCCGTATAAACAGTGTGTGTTGTAACATCAGCACCCTGTTGTCTGAACATGCTCAGTAGTATTACCTGCTGGTCTGATGTGGCAAATACATAAAGACTTTACATAGAGAGAACATTGTACTTATAAATAAATATGAGGCCGAAGTAACACGCTCAGATTAATTCTAACAATATTAGGTCAGACGTGAACAGCAACAGAAGAACCCAAACAAGATGTTTCTAATTCAGATTTCAGTAAAAAATTCAGTTTTTTTTGTGCACTAAACAAATGTATTATCACATGTTTTCCCAAAGTGTAGCCCAGAAAATAGGAGAGTGTTAATTTCAGCTCCTCTTCCAGCCAACAGTCTCGTTTCATATCAGTGGAGATGGAAAAATGAATCAGATGGTGATTGCAGGCTGTAATATAGAAGTTACTGTTTGTTACTGACACACAGTAACTCCATTAGTCTAAACAGTATGGACACCTGCACTATTAAAACTCCACTGGGAGTTATACATTATTAATATCCTTGATTATCCTTTGTTAGCTGGGGTAAATTTATTTATCCGTTGCATTAAATGTTGAATGCTAAATGATTTATTTAGCATTCAACATTTTATATTTGCAACAGCAAGTTTATTCTACACTTCCAAATAACTATAATAACACTCCACATTGAAATGTTTCCCTGTAAAATCCACACATCTAGAACCAACAGGAGCATTACTGTTTATGGTTTGACTCGTCCTCAGCTCAAAATCATGGATTTTGGTCATTTTCTGGGATGCTGTAGATTTTTTTTTTGTCTAGTGCAGATTGGTACTGTCTGTGAAGGTTCATTACTATTTCTATCAGTGTTCACTGCTCTTGGCAGTGTATTGCTGATTTTCAACCAAGATTCCCATTACAGGATGTTATGCTGGGGTAAACTACTCTATCAGCAATTTGTAAACCGTTTTCAGGACATGCAGCCCAAAGCTATTAAAGCGTTAAGCTGAAGCATTGCAATTATTTCCTATAGATTCAGCCTATATTCTTTTTTTAAGCTTCAGCTTCTGTTAGTATCTTAAATTTAACTTTTTTTTTACTGTAGTTTATCAGAGAGACAGTTCAAACTTCATGTAAAGAACACAATTTATTACATGCATGATACTGTTAACTGGCAAAGCAGCTAGTCATTTGTAAAAAACAAAACAAAAACAACAATACTCCTAGAGAAATGTTTAGTTTAATCTCAGAACTGTCTGTTCTCTCTTGTTCTGCCTGTAATGTTGAATGCTTTGCTGTTAATAATGCGACCATGGCGGTTTACTGTTGTATTAATATTCTACCTATGTACGTCCTGACAGGTAAAGAATTTTGCGGTCATTTACCTGGTGGACATCACAGAAGTGCCTGACTTCAACAAGATGTACGAGTTGTACGACCCCTGCACCGTCATGTTCTTTTTCAGGTAAGGCACTCAATGTCTGGATTTCAAAATATCAATATAATGTTACTTAAAGATCTCCTCTAGTCATGTATTAAGACATATGTATATGTGTATATATATATATATATATATATGTGTGTGTGTGTGTGTGTGTGTGTGTGTGTGTATATATATGGAAAGATGATATGTGTCTGTTTGTCCTGCAAGAAACTTATATAAACTTATGTACTTCAGAACTTTATATTGTTTTTTTTTTTTTCCAGGAACAAACACATCATGATTGATTTGGGCACCGGTAATAACAACAAGATCAACTGGACAATGGAGGACAAGCAGGAGATGATAGACATTGTTGAAACAGTGTACCGAGGAGCAAGAAAAGGAAGAGGTCTGGTGGTGTCTCCAAAGGATTATTCTACAAAATACAGATATTGATTTTTATTTTTGTCCTCCAGCAGTTGTTTTTCTTTTATGATATTTTGTGACCTGAAACAGAGACTACAAGTTACAGAAGTCAAGGAAGATCTTTTTCCTCTTTTTCAACATTTTCATTTTTGCCAGTAAAACGGAACGATATTCTTATTCTTGGTCACCATTGTGTTACTTTGTGCCATTTGTGTGTAGATTGAAGTTTTATTCAGTTTCAAGTTGTCTTTTTCTTCTGGAAAACCCTAATCCTAATAAACATGGATGGTTTTTTACATAAAAAGTGTTTCATGGTAGCTGTGTGGTTGCTTCTAATAAGACTGTGGGTGTATTTTGGGGATTTAGTCAAACTCAACAAGACTACAGCTAAACAGTTTATAGTGACTGCTCCTGATTTTATTCATGTAACATTAGTTTGGAATTTGTTGCTCATGCATGGTACAGGACATTGTGGTGATATTGGAGGCTGTTGAACGCAGCCACCCACAAATAATGCTTGAGAGAAACTCCCTGCCCACAGTGGTTAGGTAATATAATAAACAGTGTCAGAGATGTAGATTCAGCTTGGCCATGTTGGAGAGCTTCTGTGCTGTATTATGTTTGTTTACTGTTGTTAGTTTTGATACCCATGGTTGAGATCAGGAACTACCAAAACAGCTTGAGAACATTTATTGAACTGACAGTAAAAAGCCTCCAACTTTATACTGACTTAAGATAACAAAGGAAAGTGGCATAAAAACATATATTTATTCATATTCAGTGATTTAATTCCAATTATTCTATAAAAATATTCCGTTTTACTTAA